ATCGACGCCAGCGGCTGCACCGGCACCGACCCCTGCACCCGTTCCAGCACCAACGTCAGCACCGGCGCCTGCGCCTACGCTGGCTTCCAGGTGGACCAACGCCGGCGCCTGCGCCGGCACCAACGCCAGCGCCTAGACCAATATTAACGCCAAGCCGCAACGTTGCAAGCCGATTTTGGAACGCCGCTCCAAATTTTCTTCTCGCTAGCCTGGCTACTCCAATTCTGACTTGCCATGACCATTGATATGACGCTCGTCGCACTGGGGGCTTCGTGATGTCACGGAATACCCGCCTGGACGTGTCACGGTTTCCACCCTCGCCTTGTCGTAACGCTCGCCGTCTTTTGTCGAAGCGCACGCCGTGAGCAGCACGACGGGTACCACGAGCAGCACGACGGATACTTTGCGCAGCACGCCAGGTACAATCACTGACCCTTGCGCCCGGAGGGGTTACCGGATTGAGCAGGCAGGACCCCCTAGTTGTACAACTCTTGATTGGATTTCTGCTCAAGCTTCTGGTCAGACTTGCATTGCATCCCTGACGCCAGCACCAACGCCGACGCCTCCATCACCACCGACGCCCGCACCGACGCCAGCGGGAACGCCTGCGCCTGCGCTGGCACCAACGCCAGCGTCTACACCAGCACCGATGTCCCGACGCCAGCACCAACGCCGACGCCTACACTAGCACCGTCGCCAGCACCGACGCCAGCACAGACGCCGGCGCCTGCGGCATCACCGACGCCAGCACCGATGCCAGCATCACCGCCTGAGCGCCAACACCTCCGGCCCCCGCCAGGGCCAGCGTCTGCGCCTACGCCGACTCCAACGCCGGCGCCTGCCAGTTCCGATGCAATCAGGACATCAACACGGATGCCTGCACTGATGCCACGCCAGCATGAACGCCTGAGATGGTGGCAGCACCAACGCGACGCCAGCACCGGCGCCAGCACGAGCTTCCGCGCCTGCACCGGCACCGAACGCCAGCGCCTAAAACCAGCACTGCTGGCATCCCTGACGCCAGCACCAACGCCGACGCCTCCATCAGCACCGACGCCAGCACCGACGCCAGCGGGAACGCCTGCGCCTGCGCTGGCACCAACGCCAGCGCCTACACCAGCACCGATGTCATCACCGACGCCAGCACCAACGCCGACGCCTACACCAGCACCGTCGCCAGCACCGACGCCAGCACAGACGCCAGCGCTTGCGGCATCACCGACGCCAGCACCGACGCCAGCATCAACGCCTGAGGTTGCGCCAGCACCAACGCCAGCGACTACTCCAGGGTCGACGCCAGCACTGACGCCAGCACGAGCGCGGTCGCCTGCGCAGGCACCAACGCGAGAGCCGACTCCAGCACCGCAACCAGACCGCAGCGAACTGGTTAGCTGTCCAGCTAAGCGGTTCGCACAGGCGCTAGCACCAACGACTGCGCCTACGCCGCCACCGACGCCAGCGCCTACACCAGACGCCTACACCAGCACCGCCGCCAGGCCGCAGCGCACCGGTAGCTGCCCAGCTAACCGGTGCGCAAGCTCTTTACCTGCAACGCCGACGCCTACACCGATGCCAGCACCGGCACCAGCACGAACGCCTGCGGTGGCACCGGCACCAACAGCAGCGCCTACACCAGCGCCGACGCCAGCACGGACGTCAGCACTCACGCCGGCGCCAGCGTCGGCACCAGCGCCAGCGCTTACAGGATCACCGACGTCATCACCGACGCTAGCACCAGCGCCGACGCCTACACCAGCACCGATGCCAGCACCGATGCCAGCACCGACGCCAGCAGGAACGCCTGCGATGGCGCCAGCACCAACGCCAGCGCCGACGCCAGCACCGACGCCAGCACGAACTTCCGCGCCTGCGCCGGCACGAACGCGAGCGCCTCCACCAGTACCGCTATCATCACCGGCGCCAGCACTCCTTCAGCACCGGCGCCAGCACTGACGCCAGCACGAACGTGAGCGCCTGCGCTGGCACCCCCGCCAGTGCGTTCACCAACACCGACGTCATCACCGACGCCAGCACCTACGCCGTCGCCTACACCAGCACCGCCGCCAGCACGCCAACACAGACGCTGGCGCGTACGCCGGCGCCGACGCCAACATCGATGCCGTCGCCTGCGCTGGCAACAACGCCTGCGCCTACGCCAACACCAGCGCCAGCGCCTACGTCAGCTCCAGCATCATCGGCGGCTTCAGCACGGACGTGAGTAACGACGCCAGAACCGAGCCCAGCACCGTCGCCAACGTCATCGCCAGCACCAATTCTTGCTCCTCCGCTGGCAACAGCGGCAGCGCCTACGTTCGCTCTGACCTCCTCACCTTCAGCAGCATGGACGCCGACACCGAGGCCAGCACCGAGGTCAGCATCCACGCCAGCGCCTGTGCTGCCCAACGTCTGCGCCCAGGCCGGCACCAGCGCCGGCGCCTACGCCTGCTCCGCGGTCATCGCTCACAGCAGCGCGGACGTTTTCCCCGACGCCAGCACCGAGGCCAGCACCGGCGCCAGCGCCTGCGCTGACACCACCATTTGCGCCTCTCTGCCAGCATCAATGCCAGTGCATACGTCAGCTCTGATGCCAGCAACGACACTTCGTGGCGGCACCATGCGAAGCAGCTCCCGCGTACTGTGCAGCACCATAGAGGCCACCACGTCCTGGGCCAATAGCGCCACGCGCAGCCGCACCTGCGCACCCGGCAGCACCACTCGCAGCAGCGCCAGCGCATCCAGCAGCGCCAAGCGTCTACCACGCCGTCGGCAGCCGCGACCGCCCCCTGAGTGGGTGACCCGCCCTCTGATGGCCGCAGGCAGGCTTGCCTGGGGGCTGGGCGCGCCTGGCAGCCCAGCGGTGACGGAGGACGCGCAGCCCAGCCCCAGCAGCCTGGAGTCTGCAGCAGCCCTCCTCTGGCATCCAGGAGTGGGCCGCGCCGGGCGGCGAGCTGCGTGACTGGCTCGGGCGCCGCACCGTGGGCGGTCGGCGATGAGGTTCCGCCCAGCAGGGCCGTAGTTGCGCCGCGTCGCGTTGATCTCTCTCTCTCTCTCTCTTTCTCTCCTCTCTCTCTCTCTCTCTCTCTCTCTCCGCAGCCTGCAGGGGTAGGCCGGACCCCTGAGTCCCAGCTGCATCCTTCTTGTTTCATTTTCTGGTTCCGGATTGGGGTAGCTTGATCGCCACTTCCCGCCGCGCAGGTTGGGACGCTCGAGGGAAAAAAAGAGCGTTTCGCAGCTTGCCTCGGGTTTTCCTTAGGTTTTCGATGGGAAATCGAGGTTCAACTCCTGGAAAACAGGGGCCCCGTTCCTGATTTAGGGTTCCTTGGGTCAACGCCCCGACTGTAGTGGCGGCTGGTAGGAAGGTCCAAGTGCATTCTTCCTTCGGCGAGGACCATCGAGGAGCATCCTTGATCGTTTCGCGAAAAAGCCACGCACGAAGCCGAAAAAAAAACACAGGGAATGGACGTCCGAGCGATGGCGAGTAGGAGGGTCCAAGTGAACGAAGTTGAAGGCAGGCCTGCGAGGAGGGGCCACGCCAGCGGAGCGCACAGCGCCTGGTGTGCCCCGCGGGCCTGCCGGATGTGTTTTGAGGGTGTCGTCGAGCCGCCGGGCCCTGTCCTCCTGCAGCAGGGGCAGGTACTATTGGGACCGGCTGCATTGTAGAATTTGTTTGTGGTGAATCGGGGGAGGACAGACCTCCTACCCTGACACGTCGATGAAGGAATTGCCCGTTTTCGGTTCGCGAGAGGGCGTCGCGGCCGTCGTTTTTGCGGGTCCAGGTCCGTCGGTTTCGGTCCCTGGCCGTTTTCATTAAGGGGAGGTCTACTGAAGGGAGGTTTGTCCACCTCCGAGTGAACACGCCCTGACGAGGTGTACCGAGAGCTGGCCCGCGAAGCCTCGGTGGCTCAGGAGCCACCGCGGGGGGAGTCGTTCCTGTTGGTCCCCCTGCTTGTATTTTGCGCAGGGCTGCGCGCTCGTTTCCGCGCGCTTGATTCAAAACATAGCACGCGAGTATAGAAAGTCGATTGCATTGTAGCGGAAATGGTTGCGCGCGCCTTTCTCTCTTTGTGCGAGCGCGCATCATCAGCCATGTATACTTCTACTTGACGGAACTATATAGGAATGTTGCACGATTTCGTGAAAGGACCATCCGTCAACAAGGTCCAAGGGAACCCAGGAGTTATGAGGCCAGAATATGGACAATGCTCGAATGTCAGAACCTCAGGCACATCTGACAAGTAATTTCCTGGAAACCATCCCGATCGAGGAGCTCACGAATGTAGGCCGTGAAGGAGAAGATGGAAGTACACCCGCGGCGACTGCACGAGCTGCACGAGACCGCAGGCGATCGATGGGAGCCTTTCCAGCTGCAGGACATTCGTCGGCGTAAACACTCACTTGCGGCGGATGTGTTTCGACGTCAAGAAGTTGCGGTTGCAGGGGGGGTGGGACTCAGAGTTTGCAGATGCTTTTCGTGTTCAGCCGGCTTCTGGGGAGAAGAGGTCAGGGCTCTCCCGGACTCCCGCATTAGCCGCGTGAATTTCAACGGGGGTGCTGCGGTGGACTGGACAGCGCGGGCGGAAGTTTGCATGGAAGAGTTTGATACTGCGTTGTCGGTGTCCGAGCGCTGCAGCTTCTGGTTACGGAGTTTCTCACAGCCGTCTGAACTACTGCCCCTGGGAAGTATCAACCAGACGAGCCTGACAGGGCCTGACAGTTCTGGACGCAGCCAAAATCTGCCTTGTGTCAGCCATCCAGCGGGCACGGAGGTGGGACGGGAGACTTCCCGTGCATGGCGCACGCGGCCAGAAAATCCAGCCGGAAGCCCTCGAGGAGAGCCGTGGAGCTTCGTGTGTGTCGAGCAGTGCAGGCGTTGGCGTCGGCACCTCCGGCGCCGCCATGATCCCCCCTGCAGCGGAGGCAGGCTTCCACGAAATGTTCTTAGAACATGTCTGGCCGGGACTGTCCTGTTTTACCACATCGGGTTTATGGTATGAGAGCATCGTTTTTGTTCTTAGAACATCCTTTATGTTCTAAGAACATTCCGTGGTAGGCAGTTCGAGTGCGGCCTCCTGGGCCAGCCGCGCGAACGCGGGGCTCAGCAGGCCGGCCCGCTCGCTGCACGCTCGACGGGGGCGTGACCGACACCTCGGGCGACCAGTGGCCGCCCGAGCCGCTGTGAGCTCATGGGTCAAGCAGTGGCGAAGCGTCCTGGTGTGCCTCTAGACCTACCAAACAATGTTCTGAGAACCCTCTGTGGTTTCCACGAACTGTTCTTAGAACATTTCTGGCAGGGACCGTCCTGTTTTGACACATCGGGTTGATGGTATAAGAGCATCGCATTCTGTCATTGGGGCATTTTTGTGTTCTGACAACGTTCCGTGGTAGGCCTATAGGAATGCCGGGACGGTCGGTTCCTGATCAAATGGAGGAAACGCGGGACCGGCGCAAGGAGACCGAGGACGAGATACGCAGAGATTCGCGCATGATTTTGTGAGGGGCCATGGCGTTGCAAGAGCATGTTAATGTGTCGGGATGTGTGTTTTCGATGTGCGTTGTTACCTATTCAATACAGCAGTCGAAGCGAAGGAAGAAGGGGCAGCACCAATAGCAGGAAAATGAGCCAGGAGCCACGAGAAGGGAGTGGCGCAAGAGAAGGACACCGAGGAACTGGAGGAAGATCAGGAAAAAGGGAAGGAGGCGGCGGCACGATTTGGGGGAGAGATCAAGTGGAAGGAGGAACTGGAGGTGGAGAACGAGAAAGGGATGATGAGACAGGACGAGGAGGAACTAAGAGGGGAGAGAGAGAGAGAGAAAGAGAGAGAGAGAGAGAAAAAAAAAAGATAGAGAGAGAAAGAAAGAAAGAAAGATAAGACAAAAATACATCAAGAAACAACAAACAAACAGGAGGAACAGAGCCAGTGAGGAGAGGGAGCAGGAATGAGGAATAGGAGGAGGAGGAGGAGGAGAAAAAGGAAATGGCAACGGGAAGAGTGGACGGCAGGAGGAAAAGGTGGAGGAAGCAGGAGGAGGCAGAAGAAGGAATACGAAGGAACAGGAGGAAGAGGAGGGTAGAGGGAGGGAGGGAGGGAGGGAGGAAGGGGGAGGTGGAGGAGGAGGAGGAGGAGGAGGAGGAGGAGGAGGAGGAGGAGCAGCAAGAGGAAGAGTGCGGCAGGACGAGGTGGCAGGAAAAGGCGCCGTGCGGCAGGCCCGCCGGCAAGGTGAAGAAGGCCGGCGCCAAGCCCGAACAGTGGCACGTCTGCTGGGAGCGTTTCGGGACCGCTGGGGGACCAACGAACTAGGGGGAGTGGCCGGGGTTCCTCCTGGCAGCGTGCACGCCTCTGCGCAGGCCTTGGCAGTTCCCTCGATGAGATGTCGAAGGGCTGTCGAGTCTCTGCTGCATAAGACTCGTGCAAGGGAAGTACGCATACGCTCTACATTTGCACCTTAGCGGGCGCATTAACGTTGACCCCCCTCATGCGGATGTCCTGTCCTGTCCTTCTCGCCCTTCTTCGTCTTCTTGTTATCCCCCTCTCTTTACATAAACAAGTGGCACGTGTGTGCCCAGGCTCATACAAATTATCCCGGCAAAGCAACCTAACAGCGATGTGTAGAAGCATGTCTGAAAGCATTCCCCTTAAGATTCAGATGAAAATCCAGTTGTAGAATTCTGCTGTTCTCGCAGTCGTAGTCGCATTCGCGATGACAGTCGCAGCGGCAACGGCAGTCGCAGTCACAGCCTCAGCCTCAGCCTGCCTCAGCCTCAGCCTCAGCCTGCCTCAGCCTCAGCCTGCCTCAGCCTCAGCCTCAGCCTGCTTCAGCCTCAGCCTCAGTCCTGCCTTCAGCCTCGGCCTCAGCCTCAGCCTGCCTCAGCCTCAGCCTGCAGCCAGCCTCAGCCAGCCTCAGCCTGCCTCAGCATCAGCCTGCCTCAGCCTCAGCCTCAGCCTGCCTCAGCCTCAGCCTCAGTCTGCCTCAGCCTCAGCCTCGGCCTCAGCCTCAGCCTGCCTCAGCCTCAGCCTGCCTCGGCCGCAGCATCAGCCTGCCTCAGCATTCAAAATGTGGCCCAGGAATGGAGTTCTGGGAACTCGAAGAACACGAAGTGGCCTACAGTTGGCTCCGGGCATTCAAAATCATGCCCAGGAATGGAGTTCTGGGAACTCGAAGAGCACGAAGTGGCCTACAGTTGGCTCCGGGCATCCAAAATGTGGCCCGGGAATGGAGTTCTGGGAACTCGAAGACCACGAAGTGGCCTACAGTTGGCTCCGGGCATCCAAAATGTGGCCCGGGAATGGAGTTCTGGGAAGTCGAAGAGCACGAAGTGGCCTACAGTTGGCTCCGGGCATTCAGAATGTGGCCCGGGAATGGAGTTCTGGGAGGTCGAAGAGCACGAAGTGTGTGACTGTTGGCTTAAAACGACTTCTGCGGCACCCTGTCCGGCACCCGCCCAGACCCCCCTGTGGAGTCTTCTGCTGCTTTCTTTTGACCCTACTAGAAACCTATCAGAACAAGCTGTTAGGTAAAAACTGAAGGGGCGTTTGAAGCAGGAGTGAAATGCAACATCGAAGTCGCACTCGAGCGCAAGTGGGGTTGCCACACCTTGCGATGCGTGTACCAGGGCCCCCAGGAAGCCTTAGGAGGCCCGACTTGGATACCAGAAGAGCCTCCAGGAGGCCCCAGGATTGTGAGTGTTGTGCGTGTGTGTGTGTGTGTGTCTGTGTCTGTGTGTCTGTGTGTCTTTGTGTCTGTGTGTCTGTGTGTCTGTGTGTCTGTGTGTCTGTGTGTGTGCTTGTGATGTATGTTTCGTGTGGTGCGTGCTTTTTGTGCGTTGTAGGTGTTGTGTGTGTTATGTTTGTCTAGCGTGTGATGTGTTGGGCGTGATTTGTGTCTCTGTGTGCATGTAGTTCTGAAGCCCCAGGAGGCCCCAGGAGGCCCCAGGCGGCCTCAGGAGGCCCCAGGAGACCCCAAGAGGCTTCAGGAGGCCCCAAGACGCCGCAGGAGGCCCCAGGAGGCCCCAGGAGGTTTCAGGACACCCCCAGGAGGCTCCGAGGCGGGGTCTGGGGTGCCAGAAGGTTCAGAAGGCCCAGGAGGCCCCAGGAGGTTCCAGGAGGCCCCCAGGAGGCTCCGGGTCTGGGGCTCGATTTTGGAATGATTTTTCAAGCGAAACCGCCATTCACTGAGAATCGGGGTCACAATTATTGAAATTACCATGTGTTTTTGAAGGTTTTATGTTAAAATGTTGAATTTCCCATGTGTTTTTGGACCCTGACGTCGCGATCTGCGTGAGGGGTGCCACCGATGTTCATAATTTCGAGGATGTCCCGAGCGAAACGCCCAGAAAAATCGCGGACGCGTGCGCATTAATCGCCTCTGAGCTCTACTCCCTCGGAGAGGTGCGTATGAGAATACGTATATATACATATTCCGTGCCGTGGCCAGATGATCGGTTCCGGCGGGGGCATGGTGGATACCGCTGGTCCGCGGCTCGCCCCGGCTCTGTTTAACAAGCTCGTAAGCACCTGACTCTCGGCGGTAGCCAGCAGAAGCAGCCGCTGGGAGTGAAAAGGCCCCCCTCTTACCCCGGGAGATGGTAGTTCTTCTGCGGTGCAGAAATGGACAGTCGGAAGCGATCACACAAGATTGACATCGGCCTCCCAGCAGATTCTTTGCACAAGCATCGCAGTTAAATCAAAGGGCAACTCGCACAGCTTTCAGATAGAAAACGCATGCGGGCCTACATTACTTGCAGCAACATGTCTGGTCGCTTGAACCTAGCGCATGTCAAGCGAGGCCCATTTGAACATCGGAAGCCCTCCTCCTTCTCTCCTCCTCCTCCTCCTCCTCCTCCTCCTCCTCCTCCTCCTCCTCCTCCTCCTCCTCCTCCTCCTCTTCCTCCTCCTCCTCCTCCTCCTCCTCCTCCTCCTCCGCCTCCCCCTCCCCCTCCTTCCTCCTCCTCCTCCTCCTCCTCCTCCTCCTCCTCCTCCTCCTCCTCCTCCTCCCCTCCTCCTCCTCATGTCCTCTTCCTCCTCCTCCTCCCTCTCCTCCTCCTCTCCTCCTCCTCCTCCTCCTCCTCCTCGCTCCTCCTCCTCCTCCTCCTCCTCCTCCTCCTCCTCCCTGCCGCTTCATCCTTTTCATCCTCCCTCCTCCTCCCTGCCCCCCCTTGCCCATCCCCGTTCCAGGGCCGCCGATACCTCGACTGGCCCTCCTCCGATGCTGGATCTCCCTTGTGACTTGTGGCAAGAATTTGGCTGTACTTCGTCGGACGCCCAAGGAATGGGGAGCACCTGCAGGCGATAGCCGCGACCGGCGGAGTGGGCGGCAAGGCGGCTGGCGCTAGAAAATCGTTTTACATGCGTGCCAACTTGCCCTCCCCCGCTCCCCTCCACCCCCTGCCACTCCCCCACTACGATCCCACCCCACCCCCGGGAGAGAGAGGGGAGGAGGAGGAGGAGGAGAGAGAGAGGAGGAGGAGAGGGAGGAGGAGGAGGAGGGAGGAGGAGAGGAGGAGGAAGGAGAGGAGGAGGAGGAGGAGGGAGGAGGAGGGAGGAGGAGGAAGGAGGAGGAGGAGGAGGAGGAGGAGGAGGAGGAGGGGGAGGAGGAGGAGGAGGAGGAGGAGGAGGAGGAGGAGGAGGAGGAGGAGGATTACTGCAATCCCAAGACGCATCAACGACATTGGAGTAAACCCTCCCTTCCAAGCTTCTTCTTCACAGGCCCTATACAACGGTTCATTTCCACTGAGGGAGCTGCCTCGTTGGAAGACAACCGTTTGAAGACCTTGAACCATGCCACGGGATTCCAACGCCACGGATCAACCTGACTGTTGCGTGTTGACGATCTTGAGTCGTGCCAGAACACCGTTCCTCAGACTTCAACACAGCGAATCAACGTAACCGTTGCGCCTTCATAGTCTTGGTTCCGTCCAAAAACCGTGTGGTATGATGGTCATGGGAATCTGAGAAGCTCTTACAAGTTGTTTAAACGAATGCTCGCGGCGACACGGCGAGAGCCACATGTTGAAAAGGAACCGCTTTCAACCCGTCAAACCGTTACAAGTTTTGAAAAACCAATGTGCGCAGCGCTAAGGTGAGAGCCACATTTTGAAAACCACCCACCCTCAACCCGTAAAACTTTTGCAACTATTGAAAAACGAATGTGCGCGGCGTTAAGGCGAGAGCCACATGTTGAAAACCACACGCCCTCAATCCGTGCAACTCTTGCAAACGTGTACAACGAATGCACGCTTGTGAAACTGTTGCAATGTAAAAGCTTCAAGATCATCAATTTGGAGGGAGTCTCAGGCGAAACGCCCAGCCCGCCCTAAAACTAGCCTCGGGGTGCGACAGGGACAAGTTATTTATAAGGGAATAAGGGAAAGGCATGGAGGAGGAGGAGGAGGAGGAGGAGGAGGAGGAGGCGGAGGCGGAGGAAGGAGGGATGAGGAGGAGGGAGGAGGAGGAAGGAGGAGGCAGGAGGAGGCAGAGGTCACGGCGTCAATGATTCAGCCCACCCCTGGGCTTCGGGCCGCAACCCCCGGCCCAGGCCGGGGGCCAGCCGTCCCCGCTCCGGGGGCCACTCGACGGCCGCCCTCCCGGACTCCCTCACAGAGGAGGAAAGGAGAGCGTTTTTGCTTTACCCCTGGGCCGTAATGCGCGTTATGCCCCCTACCCTCCCCCCCCCTCCCACCCCCAAAACGTAACGCACCCGCCTCAGTGCGTCCCTGCACTGCCGCCCTCCGACCTGCGCATCCCGAGGCGGTCCAGCCCTCCACCGTGCTGGGCAACCTGCTGCGCGCGCTGACGGAGGGCATGCCGGTCAACCTGCGGGGCTTGGCCGCCGAGGCGCAGGAGGAGGAGGAGGAGGAGGAGGAGGAGGAGGAGGAAGAAGAGGAGGAACCAGGAACCAGGAACCAGGAGAAAGAGGAGGAGGAAGAATAGGAGGAGGAACCAGGAACCAGCAGGAGGAGGAGGAGGCGGAGGAGGAGAAGGAGAAAGAGGAGGAGGAGGAGGAGGAGGAGGAGGCAGAGGAGCAGGAGCAGGAGCAGGAGCAGGAGCAGGAGCAGGAGCAGGAGCAGGCGGCGGCCAGACCAGGCTGAGGTCGCGGGGGCCAGGTGGAGCCTTATGGTGGAGGGGAGGGGAACAAAAGCAAGAGCAGGAGGAGGAGGGACGACGGCGGCATCATTCTGCACTCTGATTGGCTACTCTGTTTCAGTATTTGCTTGCACGCCCTCTTCTGCACGCGCCGTCTGCTTGATTTGTTTGTCACTATGCCCACGTCGGCCTCGCATTGATTTTCTCCACATCCTGAGTGGGTTTTTTGTTATCCAATAGCACCCTCCACTTCTGCTATATGACCACTACTACATTACCACACGACCACGAATACAACAACTACCACAACAACTACCACCACCATTTAAAGATTTGCGTGCCCCTCCCACCCCTCCAAGGAGGCCCCGCCAGAGCGAGGAGCGCATCGGATAACCGTAATATCTAAAAAGATGTCGTGTCCTTCCCACCCCGCCAGGGAGGCCCCGCCTGAGCGAGGAGGGCACCGGGGAACCATACTATTCATAAGAGTTCGTGTCCCTCCCACCCCTGTCCAGGGAGGCCCAGCCAGAGCGAGGAGGGCGTCGGGATACCTTTTATCGTGCCCCTCCCACCCCTCCACGGAGTCCCCGCTTGAGCGAGGAGGGCATCGGGGAACCATACTTGTCATAAGATGTCGCAACCCTCCCACCCCTCCAGGGAGGCCGCCAGAGCGAGGATGGTATCACCTAAAAAAATCGTGTCCCTCCCACCCCTCCAAGGCCCCGCCTGAGCGAAGGCCGAGGAGGGCATCGGGACACCATACTAGTCACAAGGTTTCGTGCCCCTCGAGGAGGGTACCCACAATCAAGAGTACACCTCCATGGAGGCCCTGCCAGAGCGATGATGTTATCGGCACACGATATTAGTTACACGGTTTCGTGACCCTCCCACCCCGCTAGGGAGGCCCCGCCAAGAGGGCATCGGCCGGGAGGGCATCGGGATGCCATACAAGTTACACAGTGTCGTGCCCCTCCCACCCCTCCAGGGAGGTCCCGCCAGGAGGGCATTGGATACCCTGCTAATTACACGGTTTCGTGCCCCTCCCACCTCTCCAGGGAGGCCCCGCGAGGTGAGGGGGGTGTCGGGATACCATACATACTAGTTACACGGTGTCGTACCCCTCCCTCCCCGCCAGGGAGGCCCCGCCAGAGCGAGGAGGGCATCGGGATACCATACTATTCACACGGCTTCGTGCCCTTCCCACCCTTCCAGGGAGGCCCTGCCAGAGCGAGGAGGGCGTCGGAATACCATTTTAGTTACGCGGCTTCGTGCCCCTCCCGCCCCATCAGGGAGGCCTCGCCCGACCGAGGAGTGTACCGGGCCGCCATGTCACGCGTCAGCCTCAGATGGAGTCTTTGAGGCGAATATGTTCAGATCGCTAAGCTTTCCGTTCCCGGCCAACGCGCGTAAAAAGCATCGGCGCCATGCACCGCTTACATCATCGCAGTCGCCAGCCATCAAGTCATCATCATCAGCAGCAGCAGCAGTAGCAGCAGCAGTGTCATCAGCATCCTCGTCGTCGTCGTCGTCATCATCATCATCAGCATCATCATTAGCAGCAGCATCACCACCATCATCGTCATCGTCATCATCATCATCATCATCATCAGCAACAGCATCATCATCGCCATTGTCGCTCTCTCCTCCCATTGGCCTTTCGCTCATATCGCTAATTTGAAACACAGTGGTCCCACAAAGCCTTTGGACGTCCTCATGTGGGGAGCCTCGATAGAGTAACTTTATTCTCCCACAGGAATGCTTCAGCCACGTAGCTAAAGTCTGACCAACCTCAAAATGTGGATGGCGGAAGAGGAAGTGTGTTGTCAGGGGTGAGTGCGGTTGTCCTTGGCTGTGGCGTGATGCAGGATGTTTTGGGAGGTTAGGGTGGGATCGTGGGGGTCCCAGGGGAGGAGGAGGAGGAGGAGGAGGACGAGGAGGAGGAGGAGGAGGAGGTGGAGGGGGAGGGGGAGGAAGAGGAGGAGGGGGAGGGGGAGGAGGAGGAGGAGGAGGAGGATGAGGAGGAGGAGGAGGAGGAGGAGGAGGAGGAGGTGGTGGAGGAGGAAGAGGAGGACCGCGGCGGCGGCGGCGAACAGAGGGAGGAGGTGGAGGACGACCGAGAGCAAGAAGAGGAGCAGGAGGACCAAGCGCGGGGGAAGCGTAGAAGGAGGCGCAAGAGCAGGAGAAGCTTCGAGAGCGGGAGGAGCCTCGGGCCGCGCAGAGGCCAGGCGGGCAGGAGCGGGAGGGGTAGCCAGAGGAGCTGGAGGAGGAGGAGCCAGAGGAACAGTACGAGGAGGAAGGGCAGGAGCAAAAATACGAGACGAGAAGAGGCGACGAGAGGAACAGTAGGAGCAGGAGGAGGAGACGACGAGGAGGAGAAGACGAGCAGGAATAGAAGCAGAAGGAGATGAGGAAGAGAAGAGGAGCCAGAGGAGCCAGAGGAGCTAGAGGAGGTCGCCGAAGATGACGACGGCGACGGCGGCGGAAACGAGGCGCCCAGTGCCGGCTGCGCGAAGCCCCCAGACGAAACCGAGTGGGAGAAGATCGAGGAGCCGACCCAGAGCCCTCCCGCTCTTGCTGCTGCGTCGTGTTCCTCCTCCTCCTCGCTGTCATTTTCCTGACGAGTTGAAGGAGACAAAATGAGGAGGGGGGAGAAGGGAGAAGACAGGAAGAGGGGAGGGGAGAAGAAGGGTGCAGGAAGTAGGGGGAGACGGAAGAAACAGGATCAGAGCAGGCCCGGCAGCAGCAGAAATGGGGGCAACAGCATGAATGTTCAGCAGGAGCAGAAGCGGCACCAGGGGCAGGAGCAGGAGGCGGATTGGGAAGGGCGAGGGAAAAAGAGGGCAGGGCGGAGAGAAGAGAACATGACGAAAGATGTGGAGGAGGATGTTGTTGACAAGAGGCAGACGATGATGGAGACGGGGGAGGAAGAGGAGACTGGTAGGAGCGTTGAACAGGGGCCTGAATGGGAGAAGGGAAGGGAGGTGGAGGAGGGGGGACAAAGAGGGAGAGAGAGAGTCGGACGAGGAGCAGGAGGAGGAGGAGGCGGAGGAGGAGCTTCAGCAACAGGAGTCCCAGGAGGAAGAGGTGGAGGAGGACGTGGACGTGCAGGCCGCTTGTGGCGCAGGCCGAGGAGGATGCGCTGTAGCCGCTGCGTCTCGGGCGGCGCGGGGGGGGCGGGGGCTCCCCGCCCGGAGGCCCCACAGCAGGAGCGAGGGGGCTCCACGGGAGAGTCTGACAGCCTGGCGCGGCGATCGGCTGCCGGGCGCCACGGCGGCCGAGAAACCCGCGGCGAAGAGCCAGCGCGGGCCCAGCACTGCGGCAAAACAGGAACGTGCGACAAAGATGTCGACGGTCCTGACAGATCCCCGCGGCCCACAGCGCAGCGACGCCATCACCAGCGAGCACGAGAAGGCGCACACACTGTCGAGATGAAGGGCCAGCTTGCGGCGCTGTCGAGTTTGAGAAGCGGGCCGTTTTACTTCCCAACCCTCCTTGGTTGGGTATTCGTTTTGAATAGAGGACTGCGGTCTCCAGTTCTCCTCCGGCTCCTCCTCCCGCATCCCGTCTCCCGCTCCCCTCTTAGCTCCTCCTGCTTTGTGCGGACCTCCCCATCCCTGGGGGGCTGCGATCTGCGACACTGTCGCCACTTTCGAGGGCTGCTGGTGGGTCCAGCGGAGTGAGGCACCGCGGAGATCTGAGCGAGACCTCGCCGTCCCTGCGATCTGCGACACCGTCGCCACTTTCGAGGGCTGCTGATGGGTCCAGCGGAGTGAGGCACCGCGGGGATCTGAGGTAGACCTCGCCGTCCCTGGGGGGCTGCGATCTGCGACGCTGTCGCCACTTTCGAGGGCTGCTGGTGGGTCCTGCGGACTGAGGCACCGCGGGGATCTGAGCCTGACCTCGCCTTCCCAGGGGGGCTGCGATCTGCGACACCGTCGCCACTTTCGAAGGCTGCTGGTGGGTCCTGCGGGCTGAGGCACCGCGGGGATCTGAGCTTCTGCGACACCGTCGCCACTTTCGAGGGCTGCTGGTGGGTCCTGCGGACTGAGGCACCGCGGGGATCTGAGCGAGACCTCGCCGTCCCTGGGGGGCTGCGATCTGCGACGCTGTCGCCACTTTCGAGGGCTGCTGGTGGGTCATATGGACTGAGGCACCGCGGGGATCTGAGCGAGACTTCGCCGTCCGTGGGGGGCTGCGATCTGCGACACCGTCGCCACTTTCGAGGGTTGCTGGTGGGTCCAGCGGGCTGAGACACCGCGGGGATCTGAGCGAGACCTCGCCGTCCCTGGGGGGCTGCGATCTGCGACACCGTCGCCACTTTCGAGGACTGCTGGTGGGTCCAGTGGAGTGAGGCACCGCGGGGATCTGAGGTAGACCTCGCCGTCCGTGGGGGGCTGCGATCTGCGATACTGTCGCCACTTTCGAGGGCTGCTGGTGAGGCCCCGCGGGGATCTGAGGTAGACCTCGCCGTCCCTGGGCGGCTGCGATCTGCGACACCGTCGCCACTTTCGAAGGCTGCTGGTGGGTCCAGCGGAGTGAGGCACCGCGGGGACCTGAGCGAGACCTCGCCGTCCTTGGGGGGGGCTGCGTTAGTAACCACTACGACGCCCTTCTATCTTGATCGGGGGCCTGCGAGCCTTCCGATTGTTTCTCGCAGAATCACAGGCGTCCATGTTACGTCATCGCCCCCGTTGTAGCAATCCTGATGTACTTATGCCCCGCATTGCGCAAGGGTTGGGTACGTCGCCAGGGCACTTGTTCTGAGATCCTCGCGCAGTTCTATGAGGATTTGTACGCGAGTGCCTGGGACGTGAACGGGGAGGATTATTATGTGGTTTGCAGCGGCGGCCCCGCATTCCCGTGTTCACAGCAAGGGAACTTCACGACGCAATTCAACACATGTAAATTGTAAAGTGCGGAGAAGAAAGGCATCTGCGCCGAAATGTCGCGCATGGACAGCCAGCTCTTGAGACAGCTTGGACACGTTCAATGCGATACTCGATAGTCGTGAACATCTTCCGGCTGATTGGCTGGAGTCGAAGATCATGATCATGCGCATGAGGACGTTGCATTGTTTTACCAGCCGATCGACATGTTCAACACATTGCACAAATTATTTGGCCGACGTGCGTGGCCTACCATCGACCATCTGATGCGCATGGCCCTCGCAACCGAGGCTTGCACGATACAGCGTGGAGCTACGCGTGGACTGGACACTTGTCGAGACAGCGTTTGACACCGTAGAACACCACACGTTCTGGACAGACCTGCGTGAACATATATATATATATATATATATGTATATATACATATATATATATATATATATATATATATTCCTCTTCCTATATTTTTATAAGCCCGGGCGGGGGGAAAACCCATCACCCCCCCCCAAAAAAAAAACCGGACTCCCGGGACCTGGGGCTTTGGGGCCCTCCGGACGGGCCTCGAAGCGGCCACCGGGCCTCGCAAGGCGTTTTGCCAAGCCTTCCCAGCGCACTTAGGGCGATCAGGGGGTCATCGGAGACGTCCCAGAGACCCCCAAGACAGCACAAGAGCGCTCCAAGAGTGACCGACGTGACCTCAAGATGGCCCAAGAGGCCTCCAGGACGGCCCCAAAGAGGCCTCCAAGAGCACTCCCAAGAAGGCCCCCCGAGGCAAAAATCATTGATTTTCTGTGCGTTTTGGTGAATTTTGGGGTTCTCCTCTTTTCGGCTTCCCGACGCTCCAAGACGGCGGTCTTCTGGGCGTCCGAAGCCGCTTGGGAGGCTCCCAAATCGCCCCACAACCATGCGAAAGGGCTTCCAGGCAGCCCAAGAGAGCCCCAAAACGGTACAACACGGGTCCAAGATGGCCCTCAGAGAGCCCCATGGCGGCCCAAGATGGCCCAAAGACACCCTCCGAAGAATTCCAAATCGTGATCCGGTCGTTCAGGGAGACGGCGGTCGGAGGCAGGGTGGCCCGAGGAAGCCCCCAGAGGCCCCCAGAATGCGCCCAGGAGGCCTCCAGAAGGCCTTAAGAAAACCCGAAACAATTTTTGCGAGCCCCCTAGAGGCTCTCCAAGGAGGAGCCTCCGCAAAAAAAAACTGAGGAGGATGGGGAGAATGCGCAGTGTATGGCGAAAATAAGGAACAATAAGCATGGAGGAAGGATAACGAATAACATCATTATAGCGGCGATGCCGGAAAAGGCAACCAGGAGTTATCGCTAAATTGTCGGCTTGACCTTCCTGCCATTCCGCCTGCATACCAAATTTCAAGGACCAAGGTGCATGGCGCGAAGCGCCACCGCAGTCTTGTATATATATATATGTATACATATATCTATATATATATATATATGTATATCTATATATATATATACATATATACCTATATATATATAGATAGATATCAACATTACACGTCGACTTGCTGACGTGGCTGGACCAGCGGCAAAGGGCAGGAGATGCGGCAGGCGACACGAGCCGGTTTTCCGACATTACCCGCGGGACGACGCAGGGTGACCCCACCAAGATTTTCTTGCCCATCGTGGGGATGGAATACATATTTCTGGCGTTGGAACAGAGATATAACAGTGTGAACACCAAACGTTCCAGCAAGTACTACGGCGTTGTCGCGGACGTTCCGAAGCACCCGTTCCCGGATATGTGGTTCGCTGACGACGTCATCAGTTTATGCACCAGCCAGCGGGGATTCTACATGATTCGTAGATTTGGTGACAGATGTGTCTAAGTACAGTCTCAAGGTGCACATGGGTACAACAGTAATCCTCACACATACGCTCCCTTGGCCGACAAGTGTCCGGCATAAAAGCGTGATGTTCGCGTGCTACATTTTGGCGAATCCGAGAAGTATTTGATTTGGGCCTAGGTCTGATATCACTGGACGAGTAGCACCACAAAAATTTGGCCAACCGAATTTCTGCAGGCTGGGCATCCTTCACACGCTTGGAAGAAGCTTTCTGCAACCGGCGACTCTCTCTGCACCGCCGGTTGCAGCTGTTCGCCGCGTGAGTCACGTCGTGCGCAATGTACGTTGCAGGCGCGTGGACGTTCAAGGTCGACCGATGAAAACGGTCGGGTATGCTCAGCGAATGAAATTGTGGCGACGTATGGTTGGCACGAACATGCAACCCGACGAGCCGTGGGTCGGCTTCAATTGAGAGATCCACCCACGCCTGCGCAGAGATGTTGACGAAGTTGGACGCGCAGGAGCGGGCGTCGCTGTTTGGAGGCAGTGCTTGGGAAGATCAGTACTTGCACCATTGTAGGAGATGGAGTGCACGACTCATGGGCAGAAACCATGGCATCGCTTCGCAGTTAAGTCTGGGGATGATGTTTTAGCATGTTTTGACCATTCCCGTGGACGTTTGGACTAATTTTTCAATTTTCGCTCCAAATCCGCTTGTAGGGGGACAGGCCCGACTTACACATGGTGGACAATGTCGCAACAGACCGTTCACACGGTGGACAAGGGGAGCGCTGGATTGCGTCAGTGTCGCGCTCACCGCGAGGACACCCTCAGCGCCGGTTGAAGAGGAGGCGGGGCGCGACGAGAAGGACGATGCGGATGATGAGAAGGACGAGGACGACGTGGACGTTGCAGGGCAGCGCCATCTATCAGACAGAGTGTCTACCAGGACGGAGGACGGCAGGTGCGTGGCCGCCCACGCCAGAAAGCTCGTCGATTTCACCATACGCAGGCGCACCCCACGCCTGCTCCACGACCCCACGACATCCCGCTGGGGCAAAGGTGGAGCCAGCCACCAGTGTTTGGCACAGATGGCATCAAGCCCCAGCGGCAACGCCAGGGGGAGTTGTGGAGGGGGAAAGTATTGAAGAAATTAACGAGGAAGAGGCGGGAGGGAGTAGGAAGGACATGGACGGAGGAAAAGGGAGGAGAGAGGGAGGTTAGCGAGGAGGGAAGAGGAAGGAGGGATGGTCTGTGAGCGGGGACGTCGGAGAGGGAGGAAAGGCAGGGCGGGATCATGGATAATGGAAGAAGGGCTGAGGGCGGAGGGGAGCATGGAGGAGAGAGGAGAGAGGATGGAACAGGGTGTCTTGCTCCAGCTCTCTCTCTCTCTCTCTCTCTGGGATTTCGATGCTACCCGACTGCATTGGCGCGCAGCGGGGGGGGGGGAGGTGGAGGGAACACAACGAGGAGGCCTGCGCCGTGACTGGCGTCGACCCCCTGGCGAGCAGCGCGGCCGCGAAGGACGTCCTCCGGCACGTGCTGGGGCCGCAGGTCTGTCGGCCTGAGCGGGGGCACGCCACGCACGGGCACGACGGCGGATAACAATTACTGCCCATTCGGGACCCACGTCCCTTGGCGCGTCGATTGGAACCTCCCTTGGCATGACGTCCCCTGGCGCGCCCTGTCCCGTCGGTAGGGGTGGGGGGGGTCAGGGTAGGTTCCAGGCCAGGATGTGTCAGGTGAGGGGTCCGAGGAACAGGCGTGTGCACGCACCCTGGCTTCCGACACTCACACGACCGACATGATTTGCTGAATATTTCTCGGGAACACAGAATGGAATGAACATGAACTTTCGGAGGTCCGCGCAGATCTCTTCGATCGGCGCTTGGCCCCCCTGCCTAGCACGCGGAGCGCGCCAGGGGTGGCGTTAGAGGCGCCGCCAGGGGGTTCCAGCGCCGACGCAAGAAATCAGTGATTCACCTGATTTGGGACTGGTCTCGCTGTCGGACTCGAGGCCAGCGGTGTCTGCTGAGAGGCAGACGCCGTCTGCCCACCAGCCACTGGCCATGTCGGGCAGCATCTGCTGCTGGGCTCCACCGGAGCTCGTGCGACGTCCAGCCTGGGCGTGCCAGTGCAGCCAGCAGTTGGAAGATTGGGCGAGCAGCCGTCAAACCGAATCTCGGGGTCAGTCCGAGCAGGCGTAGGAGTGAACCAGAAGCGCCTTCGCGGACGTTTCGAGGTGGGAGCCTTTTGGCAGCTTTTGTGGAGGCCTTCGGGGCCATCTTGGGGTTCCTTTTGGGGGGCCCTCTTGGGATCATCTTGGGGGCCATCGATCAAAGCCTCCCCCGAAGTCCGAAAAGTCGTCTCTTGAGGCTATTGGGCCGCCCTTGGGGTCGGCCCCATCGTGGGCCTCTCTTGGGGCTCTTCCGGGCGATCTTGGAAACACCTTGAGGCCTCAAGGCGAGAAAACAAAGACCATTGAATTTCTGGTGGTCTTGAAATTGATCGGGCTTCTCGGCGGCGTCCTCGGGAGGCTCCGTGGCCTCTTGGAACCGTCTTGGGGCGGTTGGGGGGCCTCTTGGGCGCATGTGAAAGACTATGTAGACTTATCTTGTGCAATATGTGAGGCCATCTTGGTCTATCTGGGGACCTCTTGGGACCATTTCGAGCCATCTTGGACCAGCGACCCGCGACCCCCCACCCTCCAGACCTACCCCGACGGGGAAGAAGGAGTTTTGAAGAACTAATTTCCAAAACCGTTGAATTGCGCCCAAAGGGCTGGTGAGATCAGAGCTTATAGGGCGAGCTTTGGACTCCTCGTTCTCCTCCTCTTCTCTTCCCCGTCCTTCATCCTCCTGTTTTGTTTGCTCCCTCTCCCCATCTCCCACTTCTTCTTGACCTTGCCCTCCTCGTCCCCCAGGCCATCCCTTACCCCATCCTGCTCCTCGACCTTTTCCTCGTCATCCTCTTGAAAAGGCCCGCCGCCACAAAAGCTCCAGCGCAGGCAATGAAAAACCCACTGATCGTCGCACATCTTGGTTCGACGTGCCCACAAAAATCGGAGGTAAGGGAGGAGGAACAAAATGGCTGTTTTCTGGGCGACTCCTCAGTTGGCAACTCCGTCGGCAGAATCAGTCGCATTCGTTATCGGCCGCCGTTCGACCATCACTGCGGCTCGCACCCTCCAGTGTGGCCGCTTTGGTTTGCCTTTGATAGTAGATGAGTCGGAAGAAGGGGGAGGAGGAGGAGGAGGAGGAGGAGGAGGAGGAGGAGGAGGAGGAGGAGGAGGAGGAGGTGGAGCGGAAAAAAGGTCGACCGGGAGCCCACGGAGAAGTCCGACGCCGACCGGGCCATCGAGTCCCGCTGGTACGACCTCATTAGGTGGAGTTTCACGTTCAAGCGCTGCGGCTTCCAGCCCAAGTTTGGCGATCAAGCGATGGCCGAGACGACCGACAGAAAACCTGTGGCGACCGCGTTCAAGCTGAGGTGACCCAGCTGAACCCAAGCGCCGCTCTGGTGACCGACAGCAAAACCACCAGACCCAAAACCACATTGCTTCGTTTCCTCGGCTCTGTGCCGAGCGATTACACTTCGGCTCCCGCTCGAGATATCAAGAACATGCGCGTCAAGCCGCACTACCTTTTGCGAGGTAAACATGCTTGGTCGGCTCGAGGAGGAGGAGGAGGAGAGATAGAAGAGGAGGAGGAGGAGGAGGAGGAGGAGGAGGAGAGAAAGAGGAGGAGGGCTTGCTGCCGTCCACGAGGTGCGCAGGCCTCGGGGGCCTCGGGGCACCACGTGCGCGGCGGCTTCCAGCGCTGCGGGCTCTCTGGGTGAGCATCGAGGGGAGGGCGATGTCGGGAAGGGCCCGTCGTGCTGGACGGCCCGCCCGGTGTGGTGCGCTTGTTTCCCACCGCCGCCACCATAGGTAGGGGGGGGGAAGGGCTCTTCCTCCTCCTCCTCCTCCTCCTCCTCCTCCTCCTCCTCCTCCTCCTCCTCCTCCTCCTCCTCCTCCTCCTCCTTCCTCTCCTCCTCCTCCTCCTCCTCCTCCTCCTCCTCCTCCTCCTCCTCGTCCTCCCTCTCCTCCTCCTCATCCTCCTTCCCCCCTCCAACTGACCTATGGTGGTGGAAGGCAGGCCCATCATGGTGCCTGGCGGCGCCTGGCCGCCCGCGGCAGCGGTGCCACGCCCGCGCTCGGCGGGGGCGCCGCCACAGGCTGGGCGACGGAGCTGCGCGGGCGGAGCGCGCGCGCCGGGATCGGCGAGCCGACTACGAGTAGTCTCTGTGCGTTCGAGGGGAGCGGACCGCCGGCTCTGGTTTTGGCACGTTCCTCGTCCTCCCCCGTTCTCCTCCTCCCCCTCTTCGCCAGCCCCTCCATGCCGTTCCCCCTCCTCTTCTCAGCTTTTGGTCGGGGGTGGACAGAACCCCCAACAGTGACACGTCGATTAGTGAATTGTCCGTTTTCGGTTCTCGAGAGGGCGCCGTGGCCGTTATTTTCCAGGCCTGCGCCCGCCAGGTTTGGGCTTCAGGTCGTTTTCACTAAACCACGTTTTGCTAAAGGGAGGTTTGTCCATCCCCGATTCTCCTTCTCCCCCTCCTCGCCAGCCCCTCCATGCCGTTCCCCCTCCTCTTCTCAGCTCTTGGACGCAGCACCCTCTGGACTCCTGCGGGCAGTGCCCGGCCGTGCCCGCCATCAGTGGGGCCAGGATCCTAGAGCGACGTGTTGAGTTTATCGGCATCGCTATCTTCATCATGCTCCACCACCGTATTCACCATGGGAACCGTTCACCAGTTCTTCAATTTATGCCTCGGTGTCGGCGCGACATGTTCTACATATGTTCCCACATGCCTTACAACCCTGCAATGGGTGGTGCCCCAAACATGGATTGATGTTATTGTCACGCCCAAGACCCCCGACGCCCTGTACGGCTCGAGATGTGTTGTCCAATGTCTGGTTTTGTTATGTAGAGTTAGGTATTGCCGTTGATGGCCTTGGTCATGCACTTGACGGTGCTGTTCAGACGGGCTGACGCGTGCGCCTGCCATCTCGCTTGCAACACGTGGTTACGATTCCATTTGCCGTGCGCATGGGTGGCCAGATTCAGTGGCAGAAAAGTGCGTCGCAAGTGCAAAAATTGATTGCATGTGGTAATCGCAGTAATTGTTCGTAGTATTAGTAATATTACGACTACTACTACTACTACTACTACTACTACTACTACTACTACTACTACTACTACTACTACTACTACTAGTACGACGACTCCTACTACTACTACTACTACTACTACTACTACTACTACTACTACTACTACTACGACTAACTACTACTACTACTACTACTACCGACTCCTACTACTACTACTACTACTACTACTACTACTACTACTACTACTACTACTACTACTACTACTACTACTACTACTACTACTACTACTACTACTACTACTACTACTACTATTATATTACTACTACTACTACTACTACTACTACTGCTACGCTACTGACTACTACTACTACTACTACTACTACTACTACTACTACTACTACTACTACTACGACGACTACTACTTACTACTACTACTACTACTACTAACTATACTACTACTACTACTACTACTACTACTACTACTACTACTACTACTACTACTACTACTACTACTACCTACTACTACTACTACTACTACTCTACTACTACTACTACTACTACTACTACTACTACTACTACTACTACTACTACTACTACTACTACTACTACTACTACTACTACTACTACTACTAATACTACGACTACTACTACGACTACTACTACCACTACTACTACTACTACTACTACTACTACTACCATTCCTACTACTACAACTACAACTACGCCTACGACTACGACAACTACTACTACTACTACTACTACTACTACTACTACTACGACGTCGACGACGACGACTACGATTAGTACCATCACTATACTAATACCACTACTACCACTACGACTACGACTACGACTACTACTACTACTACTACTACTACTACTATTACTACTACTACTACTACTACTACTACTACTATTGCTACTACTACGACTACTTCTACGACTAAGAGTTGTAGAATAGTACTACTATTGCTACTAGTAGTCGCCATTGTAGTAGTAGTCGTCGTCGTCGCCGTAGTACCAGTAGCAGTAGTAGTAGTAGCAGGAGTAGTAGTAAATGCAGCAGTAGTAGTTGTAGTAGTAGTAGTAGCAGTAGTAGTAGTAGTAGTAGTAGTAGTAGTACTAGTAGTAGTAGTAGTAGTGGTAGTAGTAGTAGTAGTAGTAGTAGTGGTAGCCGTAGTCGTAATAGTAGTAGTAGTAGTAGTAGTAGTAGTAGTAGTAGTAGTAGTAGTAGTAAGAGTTTTAGTAGCAGTCATAGTAGTAGTAGTAGTAGTAGTAGTAGTAGTCGTAGTAGTAGTAGCAGTAGTAGTAGTAGTAGTAGTAGTAGTAGTAGTCGTAGTCGTAGTCGTACTCGTAGCCATAGTCGTAGTCGTAGTCGCAGTCGTAGTCGTAGTAGTAGTATCAGCATCAGTAGTCGCACAAACGAATGACCAGGTCAAGAACGCAAATATCGCATTCATCAAGAGCACCACGCATAGAGCCCCAGGGCATGAACGTCTGCATCCGACCATCAAAGGCGTCACGGGGCGTCAGCCATTGAGCACGAGGGTCAGCAGGAATCGCATGCAACAATTGAACGGCACCACGGAGCACCATGCGGCACAAGCGACAGAGAACAACATCAGGGCACGAACGCTGACGACGCAACCATCAGAGGCATCCCTACAGACACCACGTACCCAGTGAGGCACCACAGGGCACCAGCCAGAAGGCACCACCCACCGAGTACGGGAGCAGGCGCGAAGGCGGTGCAAACACTGGGGCGCCATAGTGCATCAGCCATAGAGCACCATGTGGAGGGCATCTGGGCCAAGAACAAGAAGCCCGCAGCAAGTACAACGCCACAGGGCCCCAGCCATAGAGCACCCGCCCTTACGTGCACCCGGGCAAGGGCCATATAATCGCAAACAGAATTTCGAAATCTTGCAGATGCAAGCAGGAAGCTTGTAGAGCAAGCTATGTGTAGGGAATACCTTGCGAGGGGCGAAGGCGGAATCGAGAGGTTTGGTCGCATTGCTAGCGACATCCGGGTTTTGTCTGCGACGTTAGATTTCGTCACCCATCGTTGTCCCACCTCCAGATCGGCGAAAATTAAGGTCGTTTCGAGATTCGTTGTTAGCAGGTGTTCTGGTTGTTGTAAAATCGTTCGCGGCATTGCCTTCTCGACCCATCATTCAAGATCCCCCATCAACGATATTGCAATCCCAGGCTTTACCTTTCCGTCGAATATGCGGGTTAAACTTGGGTCGATCTCTTCGACATCGTCGGACACAGATGTTTCACATCGAACCATGCAAACGCAACGGTGCACCCAAAATCGAACACAAGCGAAAGTAAGAACACCGCTGGCAGGCTAAGCAGCACCGAAGGACGAAAATGAGGAGGAGGTGGAGAAGAAGTAGAGGGGATACTGTGCCGGCGCTAGGCCCAGGTCTACTAGGGGACAGCTTGCTTCGAGTGCAAGGCAAATCCCCGAACTCATTCAGAGCAGATCTAACAACAGCACATTGCAGTGCAATTCTACCACGTCTGATCGTTGCACGCTATTCCGCAAGACGAAATTTCACAAATTGGATGAACCCACGGAGCATTGTTTGCGAGCGTCGCCCAGGTGCGCGGCAGTTGTGGCATCCCCCAACATTCGTTCCACATTTGGACCCAGCGTTGCGTGGCAAATGTTTTGAAATACTACCCTCCAAACATGTTCCAGGCACCATCTGCCCAGCGCCCATGTTCACGCGGGCCTAGCTTGCCGAAGTCCACCCGTCAACGCCGGCACAATCCACGCCGCGCGCGCGTGTATATTGGCGAAAATTCAGAGGAGGTGGCGACGGGCAGCCGATTCCAAAGAGACGGGAACATGCGACTGCAATCTGCGTCTCCATTCACCACGCGCCGTTGATCTCGAGCGGCTGAATTTTTGCTGCTGAATCGGTCCAAGTCCAGCGCATTGTTCGCCCTGTAGTGGCGCAATCTTGGCCCGCGTGTTTCACCTTGGCAATTAGACATGCACGGTCGTTGCAACGCCCCAAAACGTTGGAAGAAAAACGCGCTAAGGCGGAACAACACGCGCTTCTTGATCGCAGGGGGGATCGCTGCAACAATCCCGGCAAAGCGCCAATTCAATGCGTCCAATATGCAGTTGGTTGTCCGGGAAGTGTCTCGCAAACCAGCCTTGGCGATCTGCCCCCCCCCCCCCCCCACGCACACCCCACCCCATTCCCCCTGATACCGCGCGGGGGGGGATGGGCTCGAATTCGCGGCCCAGCTTCAGGACCGGGGGGGCATCTCGCTTGTCATCGGCCAAATGACATCAAACACGCGCACCAGTTGGGCCGCAATGCAGACGAATGCATATCCAGAAGCTCACGCTGCAATCGCGATTGCACCACTATTGCCACCAATGTCCACGATCCAGCCAGAGCAATATTGAACACAAGAATATGCGTCCAGGAACTGTTGATGAGAATGTGGTCGTAAACGCATGTCGCGAACAACAATGGTCGTTCGCATTTTTGCCGCTGATTTGGACTGCTGCGGGTGACGATCCAAAGCGCCCTCTTCTGGAGTGGGCGGCATGGGCCTAATTTGTTCACGCCTATTGGAGTACCTACCTCAACGACCATCCAAGACAGGTTCATTGCGTTACGAGGCACGTTGCGACACCTTGGCGTTCATAATGTGGCTGGCGTGCACGAATGGTTGCAGAACGAAGGGTTCGACGCGGGGGGGGGGGGGGACAATTGGGGGGGATACATGGCACAAGAAATGCAACAACACATCATGGACCGTGCTACAGCATTGAATCCGGTCGCGGGTGAGTTTGGATCGGTATTCGTTGGCGGTTGCATCGCGCTCTTGAAGCTCCCGGAGGTTCGGTTTTATCTTTCTCACGCCGCGCAGGATCGAATTGCCCAACGTACCCCCACGCATTTGCAGCGACCACCGCATAATGAAGTACAACAACCTTCTACGATGGGCCCCCCAGGCTCACCCCGCGAAGCACGCCGTCGCCGACCACCAGGGGCAGCACAACTAACAACGGGATGGGCCCCCCTTCCCACTGAAATAGACATACCAATGCGGACTTTACAGAAGATCCCATGGTGCATAAGGGATCAATACGCGCGTAGATTGACAAAAGTCTTGGTGGCCGTCGAAACGTCGCACGGACCAGGGGATGCGGATGGACCGCCCCCTACTACAGCATGGACCTCATTTATCCTTTTTGCCGAGACGCTTACTACATCACACGGCCAGGGGCGGTTCAGCAGGCGAGCGAGAATTGAAACAACGGGTAGCTTGGTTTGACGCTGGCAGGTGGGAAAAGCTGATAACATCAGCTCCCAATGCGGCAACGCGGCGACTGCGGACCATCACATCAAGACCAGGCCCAGACACCCGTAAACTTGAACAATCCGTTAAGTTGGTCAAGATGGGTGAGCTCAGCCACGTTGTCCGCTTGATATCATCTTCTGGACTGGCACCAGGAACGGAACCCACTCTAAACGAGCTCCTGGACCCGAACTTGCGACCCGAAGAACCAGCCGAACCATTTCCATGTGGCTTCCAAGATTT